ACCCGGCAACACAGAGCAACCATAAAGTGACTAACTTCATTGGATAACATCCGACTGTTAAAATAACAGTTGAAAATTCAGTTCTTAGAGGCAGCTCTGGTCCATCAAGACTGCTGCTCTTGAGGTTGCCAAGTTGATATATGATGCAGAATTGTAACATGAGCTTAACATATTGTCTCTGCGATTAATTTCAGCTCACTGTAAGTATCGTGCAGACATGTGGTCATATTTCATAGTAAGTGCAGAGAGGAAGACGGGTAGTGCGGATAAAGAAGACGAGAGATAGCCAGACCCAGTGAGGTATAAAACAAAGAGCAAAAGCAATGGGCCGGGCCACAGAGTGTCACCTAAATTCAACTCTAATGAATAGTCCATCGATTTCCATTACAGCTGGCTGGAGTTGACCACTCAGGTCCGTCTGTTTCCCATTAGCAGGCTTTAAAAGAGAACCTGACAAACAGCCCTTACAACCACAGGCGGACCGGATGTGGGCCTCCTCCTGTGCTGAGAGGATCCTATGAAATCAGTCATGAAGCTGTATGAGGTGAGCAACAGGGAGACAACACCAAAAAATATGAGCCCTAAATACCAGTCATGTACCTCAGTGTGTTTACACCTGCAGGTCACTTTCCTTGGTTGACACCAAAAAAAAGCAAATAATATGCGGTGAGCTTAAGGCTTACGCTAATATTTTATTCACCAGATCAAAAATATCCCGTTGACAAGCTTACCATCTGAGTGGATTATTCATGATGGTATTTCTACACATGAGAAAATTTGCTTGTTCTATTTCTTTCTTGCCCCATGCTTGTTTTTCACTTTTTGCTCATTCCTTTTGTTCAATTATTTGTTTCAATTATTTCTACTCTTTGGACATGGTCAATCACATCATCGCTTTTATGGTTATAACGTGTTGTACTTTTAGAATTCCAGATTCCAGATTCTGGAGCAGCTGATATTGAACTTTTAATCAGGTCTTGTACGCTTGCTTTAGTGCACACTGAGGTGCGGCACAAAGACCAGTAAGCGCCACAAATGTGTGCCCTCAGCAGTGCCCTCTGTTGGTTTCTCAGGGCCACTCACATTGACATAACCTGACAATACAGGATGCATTTTAGTGCTTTCCTGTGTAAAGTGGGATAAAAAGAACCATTTGCATTAGATTTCCTTGGGTGTAGGGGTGTGGCCATTGCCCTGCATTCGTGTAGTTAAGTTTACTATATACATCAGCCAGCTTCATTCATTAACGTAATGGATTTCATAGGATTTAGATTTATTGTGCAATAAGGCTCAACAGCATTCTATGACCTTCATTAGTTTAAAGCATGAATGCACAGAAATCTGTTTTGTACAAAATCATTGTACCAAGGCATGTGATCAGCTTTGTCTGTCTCCTCTCCTGCAGGCAGAGTCATTTTTAACAGGGAAGCAACATAAGAATGGAAAACTGTTAAATGTGAGTTTGTTTACTTGCCAACAGCAAACAACAAATGGATAGTTTCTTATTTTTCCAACTTAGATGAGAACTGAAGTCAAACCATGCCTGAATATCTCGCTGGTGCACCATGCAGTCACCATTCAAACCATTCATTGAACAAGACAGATACATTAGTGAGAATCCTGCAAACTAAGGCTTTGTGTGTGTATGTGAGTACGTGCCTTTATATGCTTGTACATATATATTTCTGTGTGTGTGTGTGTGTGTGTTTTACTGCTTACTACAGCTCACTCTGATTTAGCTTGATAGTGAGTAAAGGCAGTCTCAGATGGATGTAACCTGAAGCTAAATCACGTCTGTGTATGTGTTTATAGCAGTGTTGTAATAGAGTCAATAAGATATTTCAAGAGATTTGGTTGAAGCTAAAATATACAATTTAACTCCCAACTTAGTGGGAATTATTGATTGTATTGCCCACTAAATGGAACTCAAACCTATTTTACATCCAGGTATTGTTGCCCCGCCCAAGCTAAACGATTCCATTTTTTTCCAATCAACTGTGTCAGATTAAGTTTATTGTCCTGAAGGACTTTGCTGCGGCATGCCCGGTTAATCTGGGGGAACTAACTTGTAACTTGAAGAGTGTTATTAAAAAAAAAAAGGACAAAACAGATCCGACATCACTGCCGCAACCCATAATCTACGTAGTTATTTGTTACTTCCGGGGTGATACTGATTTCTGTAATTATAGATACCTTGCTTAGACACATATACCATAGAGATAATGAGGTCTACTCTAGTATACATAATTCTAATTCAATTCAATAATGGACATTGCAATAATAAACACCACACACAAAAACAATGACCATCTATTAACCCACTACTACTACTACTGCTACTACATCTAACAGTAGTAATACTAATTTACTATTTACCATTACAACAAACCCACAAATCCAATCTACTAATATCCACTGTCGAGGTTTTTTTCCTTTATTTTTTCCTGTGTTATTCTTGTTGTACTGGTGCTGTACTGCTGTTGGGGCCTTAATTTCCCACAGGGAACATCCAAGGGATTAATAAAGTTCTATCTGTCCGTCTGTCTAGGACTCATTATTCCAGCCTTAAACAGCTGAATGCATGGTTTTCTAAAAAATTTTTAATGTGGGCATGTCATGTTTTGAGGCTACACTAATTGAATATTAAAGCCATAAAATATAAGTGCGTCAAAATTGCCGGTTGTACAGGTTGTCATAGAAACAGCCAAGTGGCACATAAGAGAGTTCATTTTGTCTTTTTTTCCATGCACTAACTTCCTGCTATGCTGATGGAGCTATTTTTAGTAGGCGTTATATAAAATGCATCTCTTGTGCTCAACACAGTGTGTTATTTTCCCTTCTTCTCAATCCTGACTATAATAAAATAGAGGATGTGTATCAGTTATATCTCTGGATCTGGTTTCTGGGTGGTTTTTAAACTTAAATTTAACTAAACGAATTAGGCAAAAGTTATGTTGTGTTTAAAAATTAAAAATAGTATAAAATATCCACAAAAATGTCATTGAAGTTATTTATATAAGGAATATTTTATTATCAGTGATATCTAACGGTCAGCCTGCAAACTGTAATGAGAAAGTTATAAAAACTGTGAAAAAGTGGGCTAACCAAACTAAATAAAAAATCATTCAAGATCCAAAATGTGAGAATAAGTGACATCTACTGAGACAATTGATTGCAGACCAATAATGAGTTGTCCAGAGATGTAAAGAAACTAATAAGTGATGTTTTTAATTCTTTACAGAAAGAAACTGATAGACTCCGACATGCCAAATAAATATGGCAGCCTTGACATACCACAACATTGTGGTATGTCATGACATACCAGAATAGTGTGGGAGCCATGACATACCTGAAAAGATATACAGTAGCAGCCTTGATATGCCCAAAATAATATGAACCCATGACATATCAAAAATAGTGTGGTGGCCATGAAATACAACACAAGTATTGTAGCAATGACACAACATAAAGAGGATGTTAGCCATGACATGCCAGAAAATATGCTTTTTTCTGCATTGCATGTTTTCCTTCAGACCACAACATGTGAACTCTGACTTTACCCTAAGCCTTATGCAGGATCTAAGGGGTAAAAACATCAATTATTTAAAATTGAAATGCCATCGCTAAAGATAGCAATGTGGTTATGTGCATCCACTGTAAGTACTTCAGAAAGATGAGGAAAAAACCTTTAAAGGACATCTTTGTTTATTCTGAACCTCTGCATCAAAGATCAAGCTGGGAATATATATGGTGACTGTCCACCCGTAAAGACTCTGTTTCATTGTAGAATCTATAGAGACCTTTTAGCAGCTTCACAATGTTTTACCTAATGTACAACAGCACCAGTGACACCAGGGGGCTCTTTGACACGTTCACATTTTTAGACACTGCAGGTGAACTCTGCAGGTACTCTTGTAGTTCATCAACATTCTAAATGAAGTGCCTACTGACTACAATGAGGTACTAAATTAAAATTGCACTCAAATTTCTGACAAATAAAAGCTTGTGTATTACGTCTATATAATTTGGGGACTATGTCATGAAACGAGTGTTACTTGTAACTGGCATGACATGACCTGAAACAGCTCCGGTAACGCTACATGTTTAACCTCTCTGAACTGGGCATGCTCAGAGGGATGATGGTGACGGATTAGTCTGTCAGTCTGAATTACTTTGCGCTGGCTACCCCCACCTTATTTAACCAACATTGGTTGTTTATTCAAAAGCGTAAATAGTTCCAGGGCTCCACAGTTTTAGTGACATTTTCTGCTCAGTTTACATTCAGCCGGCCGTGATAACTATGAAGCTAGTTTAATTTAATGTGTTATTGTTCATAATATTATACTTATCTATTGTATCCTTGGTTTTACAGTGTCGGTTGGAAGACCTTTTTATTTAATACAGAAATAGTGGTTTCAGACTTAAAACAGCCTTCTGTTCAATGGAGAAAAATGAAACTGTAAGAGCTGTCCTGCTTGTTGTCCTCACTGTGGTTGGAGTTAAGCACACACAGGGAGACTTTACATCACTATTACCCACAGAGTTGTAAGACCTACATAACATAGCATTTCTTCCTCCTATTGAAATTGGAGCATTGTAAATTGTGTCACGAGTACACGGAAGGTAATACTTATACTCCTAACCCTAACCTGAACAATAACCACACCTCTTCAATACTATGTGCATTCTATTAGTAAACTGTCATTTAAAATAGTTGTTTTTGTGCAACCGATACAACTGATCAAAGATCTTTGTACAGCTTTGGGATTTTAAAATATATATATTTATGTATAACACACATTGGGAAACTTGTGATGTTTTTGCTTATTTGAGATACAGTAAACATTTGCAGCATTTAGCATTTTAAATACAATTTTACAGGTTTTTTAGAGGTTTTTTTTTTTTACCTTTCGGGGTAAATGGAATAATATGGCCACTATGGAAAAAGGAAGTTTTCTTTTTGGTTGACTTAATCCAAACATATCTGTCTCTCCCTGCAGGATGCTTCGAGTGCTGCATCAAGTGTCTGGGTGGGGTGCCCTATGCCTCCCTGGTGGCCACTATCCTCTGTTTCTCAGGTGTGGCGCTGTTCTGCGGCTGTGGACACGTGGCCCTCTCTGGCACCTTGACCATGCTAGAAAACCACTTCTCCACCAACACCCCCGACCATGCCACCCTCACAATAGTGTAAGTCCATGGTGGGGTTCAAGGGTTGTGTGAGTTTTTAAATAGACACCGTAACTGACAGCTTTGTGTTCTGTGTTTAGCATCCAAATCTTTCAGTACATCATCTATGGCATTGCCTCCTTCTTTTTCGTCTACTCCATCATCCTACTGGCTGAGGGATTCTACACCACCAGCGCTATCAAGAAGGAGCTGCAGAGTGACTTCAAGACCACTGCCTGTGGACGCTGCATCACTGCCTTTGTAGGTGTTTCGACAAGCTGTAGCAAATGGTCTGATTACCATGGCTTTTGTATGTTTCATTTCATTTCTGAACAAAAACTCATTACCATGCTACACTAACCACGGACACTAACTTCTTGCCATTTTCTTTTAATGCGGTGTGGTTCGTGTGAAGCGACATTTCTAAACAACTACAACAAACCTAAATTCAAAATTTTACCTTTTTGTTTAAACATGTAGTTGAACTGTAGGTAAGGGATAGATATATTTTTACTTTCAATAATAGAAATGCAGCATTTGTCATGTTTTTCTATATCAAATAAAAAAAATCTATTAAATGTCACCATTAGTTAATAGTCTGTATAATAAACGTATCCATAAATTTCCAGCTGGATACAAATTCTCGAAACACTTGAAAAACAAATAATTGAACTGCACAGTAGAATGGCAAGATGCAAAATCAGGTGCAATTACATTCACGCAAAATACTTGTTAAGCCCTTAGGACCTCTCTGACACACTTTGTACTTTCCAACCTGATTACTCTAATTGCTGCAGATGTCCATTACCATTAGCTAAAACACTGCTTGTAAATGCATGTGTGTTAGTGGGTTTAGAGAATTATAATGTGACACTCTTTGGAGCCTAAACCTGTTATTTCTCCTCTCTGCAGTTCATGTTCTTGACCTACATCCTCATCCTGGCCTTCATCGCCATCTTCGGCTTCACTGCCATTCCAGTCTTCCTCTTCTTCAACATGTGGAACACCTGCGCTGCCATGAAGTCTCCGGATGCCAACATTACCTCTCCTGACTCCATCTGCGTGGATGTCAGGCAGTATGGTAAGTACGTCCTCCCACAATTGTATCAATAAAGAAAAGGATTGACAAATGGATGGTTTCAGAGGTTATAGAAATGTGAGTTTCCATTTTTTATCACTAGTTCTTTGATTATTTTTTAATGTCTACTTTCAAGAAAATTCATAAATGAATGGCTTCTGTGTAGGCAGAGACACATTTTAAGCTCTTAAGCCTCTCTATCTACGTATAGTGATCAAAAGTAGCAATAGTATCAATACCAAGGCTGGTATGACAAGATCAATAATTTCTCTTCTTTACCTTTCCTTCTTGTTACACTATGGTGGTTGAACGATCACCGTTTCTTTCACACCACCCCATGCTTTCTGTTTCTCCATTTACATTCTGCTGTGCTGTAAAAACTGGTAACATGCGTACCATGCATTCAATGTGACCTCTTTACCTCTGCTGGCTGCATAAAGCTTTACAGCTGCAGACTAAAACACTGCAAGTGGCTATCTCTGTGGAAAATTCAACGGAGGAAGGACATGTTTTTTAATATTGTTTCTGAAGAAAAATGGAACAATAATCTTTACTGAAAAGGTTTCATTTAAATTCAAAAAATGTTTTTTAGGAAACCTTTTCTTTTTTTTTTTTAATCTGTCTTAGTGCTTTGTTTTGTTGTGGTCGTCAAAATCAACTTATCAACGGAATACTATGTTTTCGAAGCTTCCACAGCCTGGATGCTTATGCTGTAAACGTTTTGCTGTCGAACCTGGATGGTGCTCAAACCCCTGCCCTTTTTGCACCATGACCAGATTAAAGCTTCTTTAATCACGAAAACGAAATATCTAATATTAAATAATCTTCTTAGTGCCCCATGTTGCCCTTGCTATTTCTGGTGCTTTGCAGCTGGATGGGACTGGATCAGATCACCTGCTGAGATACACGTCTTATGAGTTCAAGAGAAATTCCCCAGGCTTTCAAATCCTCTACAATGACACATCAAATTAAACCATTCTCATTGTTGCAGCAGAGCAGCATCACCTGCAGGATTATTGAGTGGTGACTATGAGGGCTTTGATCTGCTTTGATTATTCATCTCCACTCATTTCCTGTATTAAGAGGTCAGAAAATACATTTGGATTATTGGAGCACCTGATTGGGCTCTAAACTCAGTAACACAGTAACACTCCCCTGCTGATTACATATCAGATTATCAGATTGTTAGTCTGATGTACAGAGTGTGTGACCCATTTTTGAAAGACAGCTGGCACAGTCAAAGAGGAGGATGGGAACTACATATGCTTCGATTGGCCATCTCAACTACTCCATATGAAATATTTAATATTAGTCAGTCAGCGGCACACACCACATTACTCTCATGAGGTAGCTGGTGCATGTTGTATTTTAATCACATATTTGCACATGTTTAAAAAAAAATTTCAATATTTCAATCAGAAAAACAATAAATAAGAACCCTTTAGCAAACATGTGACTTTTTTTACTCCTCCTTTCTTTACCCCTCTCTTCACTGGGAGCTAATGTACTGTATGCTGACTTTTATATACAGTACACCATAATGCACTGCACCTCCTTGAGGGTGTGCCCCATGAATTTACAGAATATATTATATTTAATGAATACAAAATTATTTTGTTAATAATGTTCTTTTCATAAAATCGAATTTCAATATATTCTGTAATTCTGAATATAGACAATATTTTAATAAGACATAAGATAGAAACTTCAGGGAATCAATGGTTAGCCAAAATAACTGAAAAATAACCACATTAGTAGTGATAAAAGTAAAACTGAGCTCCTTTAAGTTAGCCAAAATGTTTGAAAATACGTGAAAGAGTACTAACATAAGAAAATAAATATATATAACAATATTTAATGCTGGAGAATATGCTGGAAAGACATGTTCAAATATGTATGTGGATTCTAAGATAGATACATATGTAACCAAATTAAGTGATATATAAGCGAATCACAGTATAATATCAATTGATACTAGTAATAAAACCATGGCTAGAATCCGAAGACACCAAATCCACTAGCAGCCAGATACTGAGCAGCAATAATGAATCAGACAGAGAATAATTGTTGAGTAACCACTCTTGTATTTTTACATTAGTAATGGAAAAAATATATACATGAAAATAAAATAATGACCTAGATAATCAAGAACAAAATGTGTGTACACTTAAAATAAAATAGATAAAATAAAATATCTGTTGAGGACCTTTAAAAATGAAATATGTTGCAGGTGCACCTGTTTTTAAAGGTAGGGGTGTGTGTGTGTGTGTTTGTGTGTGTGTACCTGTATCTCCTTATCTGTGTCTTTTCCTTCAGCATTAATAGCTCACCATCAAATACGATTGGGATCTTGTCCTGGTCCTTAAACTTTTCCATCCTCTCAAAAAACTGACCTGTAGACAAGGTCACATCTATTACATTCTATTCTCAGATGCATCATTAAAAGGGTAAATGTCAAAAGTTGAGGAGTGAACCTTCAAGAATTCACATTTTCCTGTTAAAGTGAAAAATCTCTAAAGTAACCACTAACAGTTAAAATATATCACATTTTTAATCAAATTAGGACAACGTAACGTAATATACCAATAATGAATAACAATTGAACATACAGTAAGTAAAATACTAAGGAATGCACGTGGTGGTTAGTTGTTCTCTGAGTTAAAGAATTGTGATTAATTACTCCTCACTTACTACAGGCCTAGTACTGCGAGAAGAAACGACACCAAAAATTATCCTCATAGATAAACAGCTGGATAGATCTTTATTAATACATCGGGAGTGCCCTTCGGGAAATTAAAGAACTTCAAACGCCTTAAAATGAAATAAATTCCTTCTTTAGTTTGCGTTTACAAGATAAACTATACGTGTCATTATAATAAAACTATACAATTTATAGCATCAAAGCAACTAAAAGAGGCACATGTTTTTTGCTGTTTTTCTGCGTTTCATGCTGAACAATGTTGGGGTTTGTAGTGGATCACAAAATGGAGGACACGTAATTAGCCTGTGAAACACCGAATTAGCATTAGCACGGATATTAGTACCGACGTAACTCGCCCCTTTCCTTCAGGTAAATGTACCGGATTTTTCACAGTGTACTCGCCGTTTTTATCCTTTCCCGTCTTTTCTGCAAGTAGTTGACTTCCTTCTCGCCGAAAGGGGAGGACCGAAAAAACAGCCCGTCTGCAATTCACCTTCTCACTGACAAGCTGAACGTGACCTGCGTAGCTCTTGATTGGCTGTTGGTTGCTTGAGCCCTCGCCCTCAAGTAGTGCTAGTTGAACCAAGTGGTGCATTCAAGTATAATAGTATATTTTAAATGTTGCCGAAGAGCACAATGAAAGATCGATTTCGATCGATGGCGTTCAAAAGTTTGATAAATTGCTCGCCTGTCAGCCAGTAACTGCCAATCAGCTGTCAGCTGATCTGTGATGTATATTCTGAGAAACAAAAATAAAGTAAAACAGTTTTTATTAAATTGCACCACAATCTACAAATTTAAAATAGAGTTAAAAAAATAATCAAGCTAGAATAAATTAAGTTAGGGGTTCAATATTTATTTTCCAAAGCCTGAGGGAGACGCAGCAGAAGGATGAAAAGAGCCACATGCGGGACTGGAGCCGCGGGCTGCCGACCCCTGGTCCATGAGTACACCAGTCCCTTCATCAGAGCTACGCTGTTAGCTTTGGGCTGGAAAAATATTGAGAAGGACACTTTGTCTGACTTTTCGTCTTCATGCAGGTGTCATTCCCTGGAACGCCACTCCAGGAATAGCTTGTGGAACCACACTGGGGAACATCTGTAATACTAATGAGGTGAGGGGACACTGCGTCAGCCTTTCATTTTCTTTTAGCTTTATTGTATCCTTACTCGCTGCTTTCTCTCACCCACAGTTCTACCTTTCCTACCATCTCTACATCGTGGCTTTTGCCGGTGCTGGAGCCACCGTCATCGCATTGGTAAGCTTCCCATCTAAGATTGAGTGCTACTGAAAATATGCCCGTTGCCATGGTGTGCTTCTCTGTTGCTGTGGCAACCCCGCCTCTCATGTTTGTCAGTGCGCTGTGTGATGGGTAGAAATCTCACCCTGTGGCCTGGCCCAGAGTGTGTGCGTTTACACAGGGTCAGTGTTTTACTTCGCTGTGTAGGTGGTATTTGTTTCTGTTTTAAGTTTAGCCAAAAAGCTGCTCTGACAGCTGTAAGTTAAAATAGTATCTGTCTACACCTGATACTTGTGGTTTCAGTGGTAATATAATGTACTTTATAGGAGCATTTAAATTGCAGTAAACCTTTTCAAAATGAATCATTGAAATCCATTTATAAAAACCTGAACATCCTCCAATAATGTGTGTCAGTTGTTACCACTAACCTGAGTCACTTTTGTTGGTCTCACTGAAAATACTGTTTCTGTTCTAGATGCACTACCTGATGATTCTGGCGGCCAACTGGGCCTATCTGAAGAGTGCTGTCTCCACTCATGAGTACCAGGACATCAAGACTAAGGACGACCAGGATCTGGAGGCTGAGGCGCGCTCCAAGGATGGCCAGAACTCCTCCTCCTACTCATAAGGACAGGAGATTGTCTCCCACTTGTACCACTGCTCAAACCTCACTCCTCTCCCCACATAGCACCCACCCACCCACCTAACACTTGGTTTAGAAAAACAGCTAGGTCATGTTTGATAGCCATCTAGGCTCGTGGTTCTCCATCCTCTTCCCTACCACATTGCTGATCCAGAGTTGTGAGCCTCTCCACCTGGTGGCTGGAAAGAGAATTGAGAATCCGGTGTAGCGACCAGTTCAGAGGAAGGCACATGTTAGAGTGGTAGATCTGGCCTGTCAAGGACAGGCAGAAAAATGGTACATCATTTCAGAACTGTCCCTTCTTCTTCCTTCTTCATCCTAACCACCGTGTTTTTGGGCGTCAGGGGCTCGAGAACATGGCCCGGCTGTGATGGCCTTGCGCCTTGAGCCAGCACAGCCTCGAAACACAGCCTAAAATAAAGAGAAAAAGAAAAAAGAAAAAAAAACATTTCCACTGTCAGCTTCAGCCACAGAGAAGCTGGGCAGAAACCAACCTTTATCCATTTTTTGGTGTTTTATATGCATATATATGAATATGAATATATAGTGTGAATGTGTATGAATGTTGTTGTTTTTTTAATACTCTGAAACGTATGACAGGTACTCATTATGATCTCTTTCTTTAGGTTTATTCCGATCAAAAAGTTATTTTTCCTCATTTTGATCTTTTTTCCCTCCATCTTTAACTTTAATTGCTAAAGCTTGATCTATGTGTTGCACTATTATATTTTTAAACTAAATGTTCCAAAAAAAAGCAACTTTAAACACCAGAGGACTCAAACTGGTGGTCTGTGCCCCCCCTGCAGTTCTTTATGAGTGTGCAGCAGTGTTTGCACTCAGCTACTGTGTCCTGCTTACCACGCTGCTCCTGAATGGGTCGCAACCCACTAATCCTGCTACAGCCTGCAACCGTAGACAGCATAGATCACTGACTAACCTCAGTAAGTTTAACTATCTTCAGCAGAGTGTTGATAGTGATGCTTTAATTGTCCTAGGAAAAAAAAGACTGATGGCAGCATATGTTAATTTAGGCAACACCAAGAAGCAGCAGGTGGCGTTATTTTCATGTATTGGATAAGATAAACAATCTCAACAAGCGTCTGACACCTGGTTGTTTCAAATAGAAATTGGACATAGCTATAGGCCTGACCTAAATTCCAGACTAACTCTCACAAGTTTATCTTTCGTGGTTAGAGTTAAGACAGAAATGCCTTCAATTGAGGTGCTTTTTTTTACACACTCAAGCCAAGCAAGCTGTATCACAGCCAAATAGCTACCTGCCAGACATTAGAGATCTTCAGTGACAAATCGAATGAGAGGTTAGTATAGACTTGTGTTAGGAAACACTATAGAGGCTTGTCCCAGTACATCAGTTTAGTCACAAGCTACTATGTTTTACATCTAAACTGTAATAAGTGAGGTCGCTGATGCATTTTGTATCTTACCTGGTAGAACGTCCAGTTTATCAGTATTTAACTTCTGCATCTAAAATCTTACAAGTCCCCACAGGCTGTAGGTTGTAGCCCATTACAGAGGACATCTCTGATTAAATGACTGCATCTGTTCTGGATAGTAGTGGTTTACTCCAGTGTGACCAGGACTACAGGGCAGTGGTGCCTTCACTGTCTTAGAAAAACCAGATCACCTCACCGATAGCTAAATGCATGTGTTGGTGTTGATTCAAACAGATGCTCTTAGCACACTCCTTTAATCAAATCACAAATCACAAAGGTCCAGGCTGAGAGGTGACTGTAAATAGTTCATGTTTGATGGACTCAGCAGCAGGAGCTGCAGTCCTGTGGTTTTGTGGGGGCCCCTGTGTATTTCAGTTTCAGACCCCTGCACTAAATTATGTGGTATCACTGGTTATTGAGCATCACAGGATTTTTGGAAAAAAAAACATCATCATGAGGGATTATTTCACAATAGATTGATAAAATGTTCCAGCTTGAGATATACAGTATGTAACTCTTCTAAACACTAAATACACAAATAAAAAAAATACTTTTTAAAAGAATTCAAACCCTCATAGACATCAGGTTGTTTCTCACAGTATGATGTTATTAACACATTTGTACACTGCCCTGTGTGAATTAGAATTAGAATTAGCTAAAAATCCTTTTTTTTTTTGTGAATGGAGTTCCATATGTAAATAGCAAACCACTCAGAAATTAACTGAATACTACTAAAAAAAAAACATTTACTACAAACACATTTATGTCAACGGCCCCTTTAAAATTAGTGTTAAATACAAAAGTTATGATCTTAACTGTTACATCACATTTTCAACAAAAGGTCCTGAGAAGGAATCAGAGCGGTGATGAAACAACAGATTAACGTGCTTTGTGAATTATAGATCATTTTTAATGTTTTTAGGGCAGCTGAGTTGTTCTTGTTATTATGTACTAGTATATAATATTAACAGTTAATCATTTTACTGCTTCTTTTTGCAATCAAATGACTGAAAATGTCCCATTTCTTTTCTTTTCCTCCACCTTTTCTCGTTTTATTAGGATGATAACTATTGTTGTTATATTTGATGTCATGCCTCTTATACCAGAAACAGATACTGTTTTGGATGTTTACACTCTGAACAAGACAAGTCAGGAATTTTCATACATTGATTTTATAATCCAGCTTTGTTTAATAACCAAATGGTATATGTAATATTCTATACAAATCATCACTGGTTAGTTTAAAGAGAAAAAAAACAAGACCTTTTTGAGCTTTGATGAGATGAAGCATGTCAGTATCGTCCATGTGTGCAGCTGTTCATTCTGTAGAAAAAAAGGACTATATTGCCATGCGTGTTACGTTTGATAAATATACGTGCTTTCGCCACCGAAGGTTTTGATGTAAAAGGCGAACCTTGATTTCCTCTAAGACGATGCGTGTCAGGGTGTTGTCGTTTCTTCGTTACTTTGCATGAAGGAGACATGACTTTGTCTTTGCGGTGCTTTCAGGTGATGTGTAGTCAATTGTACTGACAACTATGGTAGGCGGTGTTTCCCCTCAGATCCCTTCCCTCCCTCTCCCTCTTTTTCTAAAGGAAACTCCATTGTACTCAGATGCATTGTAATCCCTGTAAGTGTTTCATCATTGTTTCATTTTTTAAGTTGGAAGTAGTTCTATGACTCCCACATAGTGATGATTTTTGTAACCTTCTCTAGTAAAACTGATATTTTTTATTATCGTGACACTGTTCTGCTGCCTCTTTCTTTAATCTGGCTCTAAACAACATCCATACATCTATCAATACATCCATCAGCCATGTTTTATCCAGTGAAGGGTCACTCTGACAGCTGCTGCTAATGCTAGCTGACATCAGATTAATGACAAGGTATGCCCGGGGCTGCTGACTAGTCCAGCGATAAACTTAAAAAAAGTGAATGAACAAAAAAAATAATACAATAATACAAAAAAAATCTAAACGATAAGCAGGTTTTTCCTTTTTTTGTTTATTTACTTTGGCTATTTTTTGTCCTTTTTTTTTGCCTTTTAGAGGCACCATTCTTTAACATTAGAAAAACAATGTGTCTTAAATATTATTCATGAACTAAAACACACACATTTTAAATGAAATCCAGATTTAAACGACTCAAAAGTTTGTCATACTTTGTACAAAATCAAGCAAAGTATTCAATGTAACATAATAATTAAATTGGACATGTTTGGATCTGGGGAAGGGGGAACCCCACTCAACAAATGGTATAAAATCAGTGCTAGGGGGCAACAATTTATCATAGGATCCTGCTTCATCCTAAAAAAAAAAATCAAATATTACATTTATTTGTATTTAAAAAGGCATTGGTATATGGAAAATAAAATTTTGTTTACAAACACTAAAAACGGTTCTTTGGCAGTCAAAACAGCAGTCGCTGCTTAAGGTAGTCTAGAATATAAATTAAGGTACATCTTGACACCAAAAGACATTTTTACCTGAATTGCATGCTGTTGTCTGCCAGAAAGAGACAAAATAGTTAGTATGTGTACATCTTCCTGCTGGTACATTGCTTCCATACTCCATAAATTGTATGTATTGGAATACTGCTATAGTGTGTATATGGCTTTATACACTTTTGTGGGGCTGTGGCCTGAGATCACCACTAGAGGGAGGCAATTATTTCAGCAACAAGTGGAATCAGGTCGAGTCTTTCTCTCCAAGTTCACTGTGTTGGTATGGATGAGGTCATCATCTCGGTCGTCCAGAGCCAGAATACGACGTATTGCCTCCTCGAAGGCAGATGCTACATTGGTTGCATCTTTTGCGCTTGTCTCAAAGTACGGGTGTCCGCCATTCTCTCTGCACCACCGTCTGGCTTCCTCTCCTGAAACCTGGCGTTCAGCAACATCCAGTTTATTTCCCACAACCACAAAAGGGAAGCTGTCTGGGTCTTTTAAGTCAGCATAGTACGTGAACTCCTTCTTCCAGTGAGCCAGGTTGCGGAAGCTCTGTCCGTCTTCGATGCTGAAGGTGAGCAGGCAGCAGTCGGAGCCACGGTAGAAGGGTGTGCGGAGGCTCCTGAAGCGCTCCTGTCCAGCCGTGTCCCATATCTGAAGGACGATGTGGTGGCCGTCCACCTCCAGCTCCTTGTTGAGGAACTCTACGCCAATGGTGTGGAAGAGGTGCGAATTGAACTTGTTGGTGACATAACGGTTCATGAGCGATGATTTGCCAACACCACCATCGCCTAGGAGGATCACTTTAAGGAATGTGGACTTAGAGGTCATGGTTGCAGCAATGCTTTCACTTTGGAAGCAGAAAAAGAAAATTTACTTCAACAAAAATTTTGCTTCATTAATAACAACCTGTATTTAATTAAGTTACTTGAACATTCTAACATTCATTTACTGCAAATAATTTGTTGTCATTTGTTTGCCTGATAGTGAAAGATAAAACAGATAAATACTCTTCCATTAGATGGCAGCAGATGGCTATAAAACCCAACAAAAGACAGACTCAGAGCCATAGAAGATCTTTCTGTCTGAAATTCCGTGTTCAACTAAACAGGCACAGGTTTCATACTGAGTAAGTAAATTAAACTAACAAAGATAGATTGATACTGCCCAAAGAAAATCAAAGGAAATCTGAAATGTATTTAATTAAACAAAAAGCTTTATAATAACAGGCTAGGTGAAAATGGCAAAAATGTGTCTAAAAGTCAAGGAATTGATAATAACAGCAAAAATTAAGATTTAGACCGCATGGGTGCTACATATCAGAAGACGGCACTGACGTTGACGTGTAACGCAACAATCTATGTTGTGTTTGTCTGACTTTTAACCTTTATCCTGGGAGATAAGGCTGCCCTCTGATAAGTAACACGCACAAAGCCAGTAAGACTTTCTGTTTACACACTGCCTGTTAAAGACACGAGTCAAAGTCAGTGGCCCTAATCCGGTTAAACACCCACTGGCCTCTAATTAATTAGCCAACAGAGTTAATGAGCTTGCTACACTTCATAAAATGCAGAAACCTGTGCATGAAATTCTCCATGACGAACATCACATGGACACTGATCACGCGGTCAACAAGCTGCCTGCTCTTTGTAGACCAGAATTCAAAATAGCAGATTATTTTAAAAAAACAGGAAAAAACAGTCATCTGCTCTGGAAAAAAAGTGGCCAAGGGTTTATGTACCAACAACTCTGTTCAAAGCTAATAATAATGTTTACATTGACATTCACAAGACTAAAAGTAAACCAAAGCTAATGCCATAATTTAATTTGATTTTATTAAGATGTATAAATAATATTACATGTTGGTTCCTGCAGTGTGGCAAACAGGAATATTCAATTATCTATTCTAAAAAAAACCCAAAAAATAAACTTTAACCATTACTGAGAAACTCAACCAATGTACAACTACACTCGTCATTCATTTTCCTGAACGTTACACAGTGAGAATCTGTAAAAGGTCAAATTGATTATTTTCTGATTTTGACCAGAAAATTAAAAAAAAAGAAAAAGAAATCAGCTGCTCCACCATGTGGCAGCAGATGAGGCCTGAATGGTTTTGAAGTGGATCTATCATATGAACAGGCAGCGCTGGGTCAGTCACACGCCCAGGAGTCATATGCTACATTTAGCCAAAGGCTTCCAGCTGCTCTCAGGCTCATTTCTAGTTGAATAATAATAAAATAGATTCAAATTCACACTTTCTGATATTTACAAGTATGAATAAGTAACGTAGTTTACTTTTAGTAGACTGATTTAAGGTTTAACAGTAAGAATTGGGTCAAAGTAAGCTAGCAGAATTGATAATTAGTGTTATGTCAATAGTAGACCAAATGATTACTATGATTTTTTGTATAAATGTAAATACTTAAGAGTTTAAAGTGCTGCTGAATCACAGTGAGTGATAGTCATAAATAATTCAGCATTACATGTTCCCCTTACTGTTTTCTTGTACAGCAAGAGCAAGTCTAGAACTGTATGAGGATAATATACTTTAAATATAAAGGAGGCATAAGAGGAGCATCCACCAGAGGCTCAGTCGTTAATGAACAATAACCCTTATATCACTAATATTTGCAATGGCAGGAGACATCTGTGCATTTGACACAGAGCAGAAACCACTGCTGAATGCGAGTGTAACCAAAATAAAAACCCATTTTCCATCTTTAACTTCATCCTCCATTAAACTACAGATGGTACAAGTACACCTAAATATTTAATTACCACGTGCAAAGTGGATCTAATTCATATGTATACTTTAAACATCCTGGTTTGTCATAAAAAACATAAACAATAGACCAACAGTTGGCGTATTTCGATAACAGAAGCCTTAGTGCCAGTTGTCCGACATTGGGCGCACCACCCCCACAGGCACACACAGTTGTGTGCCCGGCGTAAAAAAAAAAAAAAAAACCTAAGTGAGAAAACCACGACGTTAGTGTGTTTACCTGTTACTGTGAAGGTTGCTGCTTTCTTCCAGCCGCTTCATCCATGCCACCGAGCCCTGTCTGTCCGCCCTTCGGTGCTCCTCCGCTCCTCTGTAGCACAGTGGTGGCACGCCGCTGCTGAGGCTCATGTGACCGTCCTGGAGGGAGGCGTCACCCGTTCTCCCGTCAGGCGTTCGCTCAGTGATTGTGCTCATCGCATTCGCATTGTGTAGCGATTCACAACTGTCTTTGTCTTTTATATGGACAGAATTAAAAGAAAAAAAATATTTGGGGCTTCTGTACATACGCATGTGAGAATGAAAGACAACCCATGAACCCCCTCCCAGTAAAACAGGCATAGAAACCGTTTCAAATCAAGAATACTAAATCGGTGTGTCTCTGAATAATTGCAAAGAAGTCATGTGCAGCAAAATGAAAAAATAAAAAATAAATTATGAAAAATGTTCATACAATAGAGTATTTTAGATCCGCTCCTTGTGGGAAGAAAAATTAAATGTCCGTATATCAAAAGTTTGTTTTTTTGTTTTGTTTTAATTACAACTTTATCACAACTACACAGTGTTGAAACTAATCTTAATATATAAATGAATTTAATAACGATGACGAGAGAGTAAAACAAGTAATAAAAACAAAAAAGGTGTTAACTTAAAGTCGTTTTTAAAAAAATGCTATGTTAGCCGAATATGCTAACTCGCGTTAGGGCAGAGGTGGTCCTGGTGGCAAAAAGCTGTTGCACACGGCAGTGCGGCAGGGAAAGGAATTAATTTAAAAAAAAATTAAATTTATGCCACATTTGGGGAATTGCAGTAGTTTATAACTTTATTTCATTTGTTCAATGTTATATCTATCTATCTATCTATCTATCTAGATGGACAGACAGACAGGTAATCTGTCTGTCCATTTGTCCATCTAACAGTGTCTGTCCATCTAACAGTGTCTGTCCATCTAACAGTGTTGTCAAAGAATGTCACCACAGTTTTTAAGCAGTAGTTGTGAATGTGTAAATGTTTTTCATGCAGGAAAATCACACTGCAGGAACCCAATCAAATGATTAGTACCAGCACTAATACCAATCCTACCATTACCTGATAATAATTAGGATTATTGTTGTTGTTGTTAATTATAAGGTTGGCTCCAGTTAACCCCACAGCCCCATGACATTAGGTGGTAACTCTCCATAACTGACAGGGTTGAGACAAGACATCTGAGAGAAGACACAACACAGAGCTAAGATACCACACACACACACACACACACACACACATTGTCTGACAAAGCACTGCAGCTCCTTCCTTATCCATGAGATAAAGGATTTTCATCCTCCCACACGTCATGAGTTTGTCTCAACCTAAAAGAAGTGACAGACCAGAAAAGTGATGAAGGATGGACAAAAAGCAGCGTTGTTTTTTCGTTTGTTTTTTTAACAGTAAATCTACATGGTTATAAAGTCTCCTTAAACCCCTGCCCTCCTTCCTTACTCACTGCCACATTAAAGTGACGTGTCACTGAGTCATTGTGATGCTGAACTGGACCTTACACACAGTAGGACATCCAGGCCTGAGGCTGCTTGGTCACATGCTGCACTTTACATCCAGTCACATGCCTCAACTGGCAGACTCTGGTTTCCTCCACATGAATGGGACATTTTTAAAAGGTCAGAAACAGGCTTTTTCCATTCTTTCCTGTATAGAAAAGTGGAATTTACCCAGCATTCATAGCTTGTTAAACACATAATACATGCAACAGAATACAAAATATTTTTCAACAGGCATAAAGTTATGGATTCTAACACATTGTGGGTTGCAAAGTAACTGTTAATCGCTATGTTTGTGTATAGATCATGTTTCAAACTCAAGGTCAGAGGGCCAAATGTGGCCCGCCAAGTCATGTATGGCCGGCGGGAGCTTAAAAAAAAAAAAAAAGTTTTATTTTAATACACAGAGCAATGAACAATATTTGCAACTTATATAAATAATAATCAATTAGAGAAACATTTGTTAATATGTTAGGTAGTAGTTACATCTATATAGTCTATACCGTCTACAACCGGCCCTTCAAGGGGAACTGTACTGCTGATGTGGCCCCCTGGTAAAAATCTGTTTGACACCCCTGGTAAAGAAACAGTTGAATACATAAACTTTATACAACTTAACACTTTTTCTAGCTGTTTGGTTTTATAAAGAGATTATTCACAGATTATTATTCCATTAAATGATGTGCAGACCTCTTCTCTACACCCTCACATTACCAGTTCTGGGTGCATTAAAGCATCTCTGCATTATATACTCCCACCTTTGTGTTTTACCAATGGGATTATGTTTTTGGGTTCTCTCTATTCAACAGTTCAATAAAAACTATTTTGTTTTTCATCACAGCATCAGAGCAACACAAAAATGATGTCATTTCAGACAAGCGGATTTAAGTTTTTGGAAGTACTCAGTAGGGAACACAGTGGGGCGCTGTTTTTCTGTTGACTTATTTGGTGAGTTTGGTCAATTTGAAGAAGCCAACAAGGATGATTTATCTATGAACTTTGGTAAAAGTGTGAGCAGGTTTAAGAAGCAATAAAACGTTGCTTGTTCCATGTGTGGAGTGGACTGATGAAACTGAGTGGTTTTATGTTGTTGCTTGACAAATGATGGAATAGTTTAGGGCCAGGAAAAGCAGCAGAATGACTTCCTGTTAGGACACACACACACGCACAAGCAATTACAGTGTACTAAGAACATAGGAAATGATTCAGCTACAATGGGATGATGATGATGATGATGACGAAAGCTGCCTATTAAAATGTTGTGGTTTCAGTCTCCAGCTGCACTAAACAGCGAGGCCTGAATGTTGAAAAAAAATGTGGAGAATTAGATGTTGAAACCACAAAAATGCTCCCTCATGCAAGAACAGTAAAGCAGCAGGACAGCATTAAAAAAACCTGCCCAAAAATGGTTGTACATTAAAACTAATGGAAAAATAAATCTTTGACTACTTGTCCTCTTTAAATCCAGGCTTATAGTCCAAACACATACAAATGGATTTTAGAGTTTTAATGTAACTTCTTTACATGGTTCCAAGGGTTATGAGCATGATTGACTGGCCCCATGTGAAGACGATACACATTTGTAGTGTGTAATATCCAAAAAGTACTGTAAAATAGTTGTGTTTGAATTTTTCTTTTTCAGCTCCAACTTCCTGGAAAGTCATCTTTTTTAAGCAAGATTAATAATGAAAAAAGAGTGTGGCAAAAGAATATGTTCCTGTTTGTGAAGGTCGCTAGAATCCTGATATTGTATGTGTTTTTGCTCAAATTAAATGTATAAATGTAGTCATAAAAATACATTAATAATTGGTAATTGTGTTTTGCACAGGTTCGAGTTGCCATCAAAACAGCACTATAATGAATACATGATGTTTAAAATCTTTAAAATGCGGTTTATTAGAGACCACACAACATTGATATACAGATTCAGAGACAGACCCAGCTGCTGTGATACCATTGCTGACCACAGCTGCTGCATGTGACGAAGGTCATAGCATCCTCGTCAGGGCCACAACGCTTAGCCCACGAAGGGAGAAACAGCACCCCCCGGGACACCTGAGTCACTCTGCACTCTGATCCTCCACACCGTCTGCAGTGAATCTTGTGTGTCTGTGTACCTTCCACGTGTTGAGGAAGCTGCCTCTCACTCACACCCTGGGATGAGTACTGTTCCCTGAGCTGCCGAAGCTCCGGACTGGCCATCTCCTCCACAGACATCTGGGCAAAGGCCTCAGGTGACAGTGAGCTGCTCAGGAGGCCTTGACGTAGGTGTCCATTTTTGGGATTTTTCAAGTTGGCCACCTTGCTCCGGATACAGATTTTGTATTTAGTTTCATTGTTTTTATGGAGAACATGGATGTGCTGCTCGATGTCACAGGCCAACTGTGCAGCCATCTCCTGCTCAGGAGGTTCGGGGTGGAGGGCAGTGAGGAGCAGCTCAGCACATTTTGCTCGCACAGTAGGGAGGTCTGAAGCGGCACGTGTGCTCACTGAAGTCACGCCGCTCTTACTTTCCACGGTGGATGACACAGGACCATTTACATCCTCCGTAACGTCCTGTGATGACGTGGCTCCGGGGGAAATCGCGGCCTCTTTCCTCTTAACTGCATGGCCATTCTCGCCATATTCCCTCCTCCACTTTGCCAATAAACTCTTTACCGCCTTCCTCACTTCTTGGTGAGAACACGTTTTCAGGTGCCTGTAAAGAACTCCAGCAACGTCTGTGGTTTCCAGCTGCTCTGCTGTGATCTGAGTGTTTTCCAGGTCACTGAGGAGGGTCAGGATGTTGTCATAGTTTCTGTCTGCGCCGAGTTTCTTTATCTGCAGCGTACAGTTGGCTATTTCTCTGGCGTTCATACTTAGTGTAGACGAGTAAAAACAATAACTGAATCAGTCTAAAACACACAAAGATACTCAACAAATACCGCAAATAATGAGTTGTAACGAACGTGCATTCATTTACTTGTGGACACAGACTGTAACTACAACCTTTTGTATTTAACGTTATATTATACGCTCTCAAGTATTTAAAAAATAATTTGTGAGTTTATTTCTCTACCTGGTCTCTGTCACGGTCTGTATTTTCCTCACACACGAACTGCTTCTCCAACAACCGCCTACATGGAGGCAGCCATGTTGCGGATGTTCAAAATAGAAACATCACCAGATCTTTACCACTAGGTGGTGGTACAGACTCACAAAAATACACTTCTCACCAAGAGCACAGGGATTTGAACGTGTTTCATTCTTTGTCAGCAAATGGAGACACTAAGAAGTAACTTCAACACGAATGACAACATTTTGCCCTAAATACTTGCGTGTACAAATAATTTGAAAAACATTTTGTAATCAAGTTCCTGACCCCCTAATTGCTAATGACTTAAAATATTAAGATTTGGTGTTCAATTAATCAGGAAATGCAAATACACATCTTGTTTTTCTCACTAATGGCTTCATTTTTATTTACAAGTATTGTTGTGAATATTTAGTATATATATATATATATATATTAGACGGTAGGAAAGAGCTATGTTGCATGAGCTGCAGCTTTGTGTAGATGTAGAACATGCAGAAACATGCACAGGAGAATCTAAGAGTGAAAGGTATCGCACAACGAGCTGAAACAAGCTTTTCAGCTGTTGTGCAATTACATGTTGTGACAGAGGTGAGTTAAATGTAAAGGATAATGTTGGGTTGACAAAACACCGGAGGCTGTTGTTGCGTCAGAGATGGTGAGATGAACTCATTACTCTTGTTATGTGAGAGGATGTTTGTCTTTACTCCAGTGTTACACGTCTGTATGCTTCGTTTAGAGAAACATTTGAATTGGAATTTTATCCAAGGTACTGTCCTGTCTCTGATTCTGACATTATTCTGAATACTAAGTTGCTGCTGTAAATTTTTTTTATTCTTGTTCTAATGTCACATAAAAGCAGTCCACTTTTGTTTAAACTTTGAGGCAAATAAATCAGACTGTGGTATCTGTCTTTTTATTAAAAATTAAAAGTAAATTAAACATTTACTTTTAAGTCCAAGATCGGCTATAGCTGTAAAAACACTGAGCAAACATGTCCTCTTTAAAAAAAAGGCCAAAAAAATAAAAAAAAATTCCTCTTTAAAAAAAAGGCCAAAAAAATTAAGAAAAATGTGTTAAAATATGTTACTGTGTTGTTGTTGTTGTTTAACACTTTGTTATGGACAACAATCATTTTTTTTGTTTTTTTTCATTAAATTATTTACCTATATTCAGTGTTTGGTTGATTTCATTTACTGACTGGCCTGTAGCTGTGGAGGTATTCCTGAACTTATTGTACTTTTTCTGTCCATTTACCAGGAGCTACCCTTTTTTCTTGGCAAACTTTTGCATTTTTATATATATTTTTATAATTTAACCTTAAAATCTTTTGTTTTTGGCTATGGCTAACTTGTACATGACTTAGCATATCTTCTATTTTTTTTATCTTTTGTTATATTTTCCTATAGTTTCAGCAGTTTAAACATAAGGTTAGGCAAAATATTTTATGATTTTATTGTTGGGGAGAATTTTGGACTTTATTATCAAACCCACTGGCATGTTGAAGTTCTAAGGCAACTAAGTGCCATTATGTAACTGCTGCTATGACATCACATCATTAAACTGTTTCCCATTAAACCTTTACTTTCAGTAGAGACGGGGCCTAGAACATTTGTCTCTCCAGTTTTAAGTCACAACGTTAGCTTTAAAATGGAAATTTAAGACTTGACGAGGCTTTTAGCTCTTGAAAGAAATGGACACTGAAACAAAGATACAAGATGAGACAAATGTTGTCGTTCTTTGAGCTCAATGCAATTAGTGGATGTAAGAGGGGGTGTTTTAGCAGTGTTTGTTTCATTTCAACAGTTACATCTGTGTATAAAATGAATGTCTCTGCGTGTATGTGTGTGTGTGTGTGTATTAGGGTGTGGTCCAGCTGTGTCCTCCGAGAAAATAAACCCCTTCCACAACCAGTCACCACACCACAAGCCCCCTGTCTTTTGTTCTCCGGTCACACATGACTGGAATTCCCGAAACACTCACAAGGCTCCTCGACTCTTATCAAACAGGGGAATGGAATTTTACCAGCACGCCTCCACTTTGACACATACTGGCCAGAAGGTGGCGCTCTCTGCTCTGTGGTCACTACAATGGCGCTCTGTATAAGGAAGTAGATTATCTGCTGTATCACGTCCTGCTTTTGTTGTCTCCGCCTCTGAGGCAGACCACGCCACATTTGATGGTATGTACACACAAACATATATGCGCACGTAGTTGTTTCCGCTTAACATAACCATAATGCATTCCCTAACCCCTTCTCCTAACCTTAATTATCACAAATGTAGGCTAAATCTTCATTCTTAGCCTAACTCTAACCTCACCCTTATTCCAATTCTAGCCTCAAACTAAAGTGAGGACCTACAAAATGTCTCCACTAGAATTATGTTTTAGTTGTACCAGGTACACACACACACACACACACACACACACAGAGGCCATAGGTGGAGAAATCCAGAGCAGGGACACTGCCTTGTTAAACTGATCAGTGTCCTCATGGACGGGCGTACGTGACAACATGGTACAGTATGTCACAAAGTATCACCCTCTACCCTGATCACACCACTGTAGCAACTGTGTGTGTGTGTGTGTGTGTGTGTCTCCAAGACGCAAGAGAATAAAAATTTGTCAGCATTGATGCAACAGAACTCCTGCAGAGACTCAGTCATACAGTTATAATGATAAAGTGAGTCATCACAGAGTGAAGCTACACCTGTAACGTTTACTGTAGATGCTGTTTGTCTGCGGCCCTGCTGTGGTTGAACCTGGAACAAATGTGAGGCTGATGTGGAATAAAGAAAAGGAAAGTGAACTCTTTGTGACACAGCTCACCACTGCACACAACCAAAGGTGACCTCTGCTTTTGACCCATCACCAAAGTGAACAGTGGGCAGCTTTAAGGACCAGGGAGTAGTGGGGACGGTGCCATGATCAGAGCACCTCAGTGGGAACTGGGCAGATGGTGGACTAGAACCTGAAACTTTCTGGACCCACCTCTGCTTCCTTAACCTCTAAGCCACCACTGCCCCAAGAAGCCCCAAGAATGTGCTCAAACATTAGAATGTTCTCTCATTTACCTTTGTCATTTTTTTTTCCACGTTGCTCCAGTGTCCACCTAAGGCTCGTTGCCTAATTGCGACTCTCAGTCATTGCTATGTTGAACAAACTGGAGGAAATGGGACTCTGCAAACATGCAATTGTTCTGTGTGCTTGTGTCTGATTGTGACTTTGTTCTGCTCAAAGGCGGAAACAAAAGATATGTTCAGTGATGACAGTAGTCGTAGTTACAGATAAGGAATATATTATATGAATATATTTATGGAACAACATTAAAATGGCATTCAAGAGGGATTTTAACTTCTACTATTGTCAGACTCAGTAAATTAACCAAAACAAAGGTGAAATGCAGTGTAGAGATAGAGGAAAGGAACAAAGCACACTTTAAAACTTAACAGATCAATATGATCTAAAATTTAATTAGACATTGGTTCCAATTCCTCTGAGGTCCAAAATAAATTATAAACAAAGTCTGACATTTTCTCTGGATATGGTCCTAAAAGTCATGGAAACAGATACTAACAAATACTAGATGGTCAGACTGTGAGAATGTCTATATATGTATATAGTTGCTTTAAATAAATGGTGTTTGGTATGTTTTTCTTGAGTATTGAATCACCATGATGAAACTTTAGATGTCATCACGGAGAAGTCCATATCCAAACAACTGTCCACGCTGATTCAACCCATTTGTTTTTCCCATAACCCCTCTCTCTTGTCCTACCATAAATACTCTCCCCGGGAAATCCACCAGTGACAGGACGCAGATTATGAATAACCACATCCTCCAGCTTTGCTCACAGTTGTCCAGCACCAACTGGAGTGAGTTTGTATACAGACAAGAGGAGGCACAAGGAGCGGAGGGTAAACAGGTGTGACAGGAGGTGTTGGTGGGAAAGACATGGGGTCAAAGGTCACGGAATTGTACTTAAGCCACTCGATTTTGGAGAGATTTAAACAAAGCCTGTGGGATGTCACAGTGGACGTGACAGCGCCACCTCATGGCCTTTTACTGCTTGTTGTTTGTGTCATTATTTACATGAATAGCTTCAGTGTGTGTTTAGCATCTCTGCTAAATGTAATGTAACGTAATGTCTCTTTGTGATAAGTAGAAAAGTAAAAGGTGTGTTACAGGCGCTTGACAACGTCCTCGACCTACAGCGTTTCATGGTTACGTCAGTCTTGTTCCATCAGCCGGTGCTATATGCAGAAGACGGCTTTGTTTACATTCGCCGGTCGTACACCGTGCATTGGATTGTGCTACATTCACTTTTTTGTGTTGTTTTGTAGGATTTTTTTTGCCCTTCATTATGGCTTAGTGTTAGTCGGACACTTCTGATGTTTTTATGTCCTAGATTATGATGTCACCACTGTGTTAGTTCCAACTTACGTCGAAAATCAAGTTACATTGCTCTGTAGGCACGGAACCCCGACGTAGGACGAGGAATATTTTTTGGAACCAAAAGTTGGGTAATCAACAGCCAACAGTTAGAAAGACGACAGTAAAACAACACAGCAAGACTAGAAGTAGAATACGGTTAGCGACAGTCAACACGTGGTAAGAAATGGAGTAAGAAGTAGTTCATTTTTAAGACAACAGAGTGAAAGCTAAATGAAATTATAAAAAAAGATCACCAAACATAAAGATAAATGGAATAAAAAGTAGGCACTTAGGTCTATGTTCGATTAACTATTAGATACAATATATACAATATGGGCAAAATATTACAATATAAGTAATAAAATAAATAAAATAAAATAGTGCATGTCAGTTGGGATGTAGCCATACTGCTTAACATCTGCAAATAGCTAAATATTAGTCAAAGGGTAGACAGTGAATATATGCAGTTACTAAAGCTTAATAACTGCTAAAACATTATGTACATTACACTTAACACATATTCAGAACATATATATGTGTGTGTGTGTGTAAACAACTGCTTTGTTCCAGTTTGTTCCTGTATGCACACAGTTCAATGTCCTTCTGTGTGACATTGTTCAAACAGGTGTGGTCTACGTCGTGTCAGATAAGGAGTCTTTGTCAGGTAAGG